ATATATGTGTGTGTGTGTGTGTGTGCGTGCGTGCGTGCGTGCGTGCATGCGTGTGTGTTTGCTGTTGTACATGAATTATGCTGAATTATTGATCATGCCTTTCAATTACATCTGGAAGAGAATTTTATCTACATTGCATAATATATTCTTGCTGTAATCTCAACATCTCCACAGGCCTCTTCCTTTGTGGGTGGTGACATTGTTCTGGACCACCATGTCAACAATGCTCTTGTTCCATTCAAAATAAAACTGTTTGTCCACCTAAATGTTCTCAAACTTTAATTCTGAAAAAGTTTGGACATGTAAAGAACAGAAGTTGACCCAGGAGGACTACAAATTGTCTCAGGTTACTTATGTAACCATGGTTCCCTGAGTAGGGAACGAGATTTAATGAAGACATTATTTTAGTAAGTGGTTTGATTAGGTTCATTCTTCCATATAGCTGTAATAACTGGTAAACATCTGTTTTACATCATATCTGTTTCTATATTGTGTATTTTAACTAGAATTTTGTATTAATCAATCAGCTTCAAATACTATAACTATTTATTTGATCTCCTCCTCCATGTTCTCTTTGTGTCTATAGAGAGGCTCAACAGTTTGTGGATAAATTTGAAGGTGCTTTGGGCAAAGGGAAAGGCAGGAAACTGTATGCCTACAAAGTAATGATGATGAAGGTAGGAATATCAAAATCTTCAATTACATTTGTGGTTTTTCTTAAAGTAAGCATCACTATTACTTTTGCTGAAAATAAAATAATCCTAATTTGAAAGAGATCCAAGCAAAATGTAGGAATCAGAATATCATAGAGAGACTTTGTAGCGGACTCTTTTGAGTAGAGCCTGTAGTCACCCGGAACTTCCTATAGCAACATTTCAATGGGTTACAGTTTTTCTCAATCGAATTGACACTTTTCTATATATACTGTATATTACTATAGTCGCACCGGTAGTGACGTCATGGCTGTCGCCGGCCAACAAGTTGGTGTTTTTTCAATGTATGCTTCAGACACGGGTCACGACGAGGCGTTCCCCATAGCGACCCCTAGAGGACGCAGTTCGAAGTTCCCATGAAAGGGAACTACAAATCAACAATCATAGTACAAGACTTATAAATGTAGAAGTGTATTGACATAGTAACACTTTAGATCTGTTTCCCAGCTTCTCTAAAGGAGAGGCCATGATTTCTTAATTAGGCTAATTCTGATTTCATATGAAATTCATCTGTACCTTCTACCTCTCCTCCCTCCTCTTCCACCCTTCTGTCCACTTTCTCTTACACTTTCTCTTCTTGCTATTTCCACTACACCAATGCCCTCTACTCTACTCATCTCTTCACCCCCTCCTCCTCTCCTTTTTTATACCCTCCTATCTGCTCATCTCCTTCTCCTTCCTTCTTTTTGTGCATATTCTTTCTTCCTCTTTATATACTTTCCCTTTTATCGGTAAAGCAATATAGTGATAAATATGCAAACAATTAGGAAAACTGCATTTCTTGTTGTGTGTATAATTAACCAAGCAGTTATCAGTTTAGGGCCAACTGAAAATATTACATGTGCATTTGATAATATGACAAATTACAGAGTTTGTGTGTGTGTGTGTGTGTGTGTGTGTTTGTGCGTGTGCGTGTGCACGCGCGCGTGTGTGTGTGTGTGAGTTTGGACAAATGGTACATTACCAATAAAAATAGCTGCAATTGTTTTTTTTTGTTTTTGTCTTATTATATTTAGTTGGCTGTATGAACAAATATGAAAACATTTGAGAATTTTGTGAAAGGTGTTTTAAGAAAATGATTCACATGATTTGCAATTTGTTCTACAATTTGTTTAGGACAGTTACGATGTGTACAGATCACTGTGTTAAAAATGTGTAAAATTGATTGAGAAAAACTGTAAAACACAATTTAAATACCTTAGCAACCTCATATTAACCGCCCACAACACCGTAGTGGCAACATGTGCATACGCAAACTGCACTAACATTGTCTTACTTGCAGCCTCCTAATCTTCCTTATATGCTTTGTGACTTACACAGAAATGGATAAAGTTTCAAAGAGATTTTGAAAATTTTAGGACATCATGCATCCCATGGGAGCGGAAAATAAAGGAAGTTGAGAGTAAGTACTCCCCCCCAGAGGAATGGTGCATATCATTCAGATGTCTTATTTATGATAGAAAATGATTTATTTCACCTGTACTGAATTAGAAATTGAGCCATATATATTTATTGGAATGTTTACTCATTTGAATGTTCCTCATTCTGAGCCCTGGCAATGTTTCATCCATTTGCAGGTCATTTTGGCTCCTCAGTTGCTTCCTACTTTATTTTCCTCCGTTGGATGTACGGCATGAACTTGGTCCTCTTCAGCTTGACCTTTGGCCTGGTTGTGATACCGGAGGTCAGTGTATTATCAGTTATGTTGTGCTGTACCTACATACACTAATAATACAATTTTGCTTTACAGTAAAGGGAGCAGTAAAGTATCTTTTTATCTTATTTCTGGCCTTAAAGAAATAGTTCACCCAAAAATGAAAAATTGACTTAAAATTTGCTTACCTTTAGGCCATATATAGATGAATTTGTTTCTTCATCGGAACAGAACTAGAACATTTAGACATTTACATCACTTGCTCAAAAATGTATCCTCCTCAGTGAATGGGTGCCGTCAGAATGAGAGTCCAAACAGCGGATAAAAACACCAGATAACAGTCAATCAATTAACGTCTTGCGAAGCAAAAAGCTGTGTTTGTAATAAAACGTGTTTGCTTTCTGCTAAAAGTCCTCTGTCCGTAATATTGCTTTATCCAGTGTTTTTATCTTTTCTAAATTAGGTGAGACATATGCACAGATCAAGCACAGTTTACAAGTGAAAACAGTCCAAAACAGTTTTAAACAAATATGTCAATGGACCTTGATCCCAGTGGATGGACTGGAGAACGCATTATTGTGGTTTATAGAGTGCTATTTTGGCCAGAAGCAACAGTATAAAGTTAAAACACCTGAATAATGGATTTGTTTCTTACAAACATGCAGATTTTAACGTCACAAGACGTTAATTGATGGACTGGTGTCATGTGGATTACTTCTGGATTATTGGGATATTTTTATCAGTTTGAATTCTCATTCTGACGGTACCCATTCACTGCAGAGGATCCAGTGGTGAGCAAGTGATGTAAGGCTAAATTTCTCCTAATCTGAGAAATTTTAATTCATCTCATCTCATCTTCATCTCATCTACATTTTGGATGGCCGGAGTACTAACCGTACATTTTTTGCAAATTTTCATTTTTGGGTGAACTATTCATTTAACAAATGATTTGGAATTTTCCACAAGGTTCTCATGGGGCTCCCATACGGGTCCATTTCTCGGAAAACTGTGCCGAGAGAAGAGCAAGCCACTGCTATGGACTATTCTGTTCTCACGGATTTCAATGTAAGATCATGATACATGTATTAGTGGGATCCAAAGGTCTGAGACCACTAGTGAAAACATATATGTTTTGCATTTTTAAATATAGCATTTCAGCATTCTATAACAATTTGAGTGAAAGTTGAATTAGAAAAAAAGAACTGTTGCCTTTTTGACAGCAGTACGCTGAAGAAAAAAATGTATATACTTTGGACCAAATGTTACATTTTCTGTAGTGTGAAAGTAGAAAATGTAAAAACATTTAGTCAATGTTTAATTAGTTTACTTAAAGGGTTAGTTCACCCAAAAATAATTACTCACCCTCATGTCGTTTCAAACCCGTAAGACCTTCGTTCATCTTCGGAACACAAATTAAGATATTTTTGATGGAATCTGAGAGCTCTCTGACCCTGCATAGACAGCAATGCAACTGAAATGTTCCGAAGTCCAGAAACGTAGCAAGGAGATCGGTAAAATAATCCATGTGACATCAGGGGTTCAACCGTAATTATACGAAGCTACGAAAAAACTTTGTGCGCAAAAGAAAAAAAATAACGACTTTATTCAACAATTCGTCTCCTCCGCATCACCCTGAACATCCAGTACGCTGTTTTCATCCAGATCAAATCACAACAACCTAGGAAACAGATCCGGCTTGACGCAGCTGACACAGAACAGCATACGTTGTTTAAGTCCAGCTGATATTCTCCAAAATGGCACTACAGGGTGATGCGGACAATAAAGACTTTGAAACTGAGATTTTTTTAACTTTGAAAGACCTTAATGTTTACTGTAATGTCATTTCAATATGCATAAAATATTTTATTTATTTATTTATTTAGTCATTTAACAGACGGTTTTATCCAAAGCGACTTACAAATGAGGACAATAGAAGCAGACAAATCTAACAAAAGAGCAACAATATATAAGTGCAAATGACAAATCTCGGTTAGCCTAACGCAG